GACAGCAACTTGTCTGTTCCCCTTCCCCCAATTCCCCAGCACTGTTCCCATCCCCCCAATTCCCCAATAAAAATCTTTAAAGAAAAACATAGAAAAATACGTCATGACTTTCCCGACTATATATATGGCTTAGGTGGTGATGGGATGTCATTTTTATGATTAGATTACAAATGCTTGTGATTTCTGCCTTGCTAACAGACTCTACCGACTTCTCAGTTTGCACATTTAGATGGAGCAAGCGGCCATGTGAGAGAAACTGAGAGCAGCCTCAGCCAACAGCCAGCAGGGAACAGAATGCTGCAAACAGCCACAGAGTGAGCTTGTAAACAGGTCCTTCCCCTGTTGAACATCCAGATGAGACTGCAAACCGTGGACCACCGACACCTTGATGGCAGCCTTGTGAAAGACCATGAAGCAGAGGATCCAACTAAGCCATGCCCAGGCTCCTGACCCACAGAAACTGTAAGATCATAAATGTGCGTTCTTTTAAGCCACTGAGACATGCGGTAATTTGTTATATAGCAAGTGATAACCAATTCACTTGGACTAGTGTATATCAGGTTGGTACAAAAGTAATTGCAGTTTTTGCCATTATTTTAAACCGCAATAACTTTTGCATCAACCTAATACTACTACCCACCACCTCCAGGCAGTTCATGGAGCAAAGACAAAGCATGTGAGAATGTCAAGAGTAGTTATGGGAAGTTTATAAAGCAAGAGTGAACTTAACGTAGATCAGATTTTTACTTCAATTGGCTGTGGCAAGTCACTGCTATTTAAAATTAACATTCTATCTCAGTAATTTACTTCCTGTGTCTGTTTAATCCAGATTTTTCTTAATATGTTCTCAGTATAGTCCTTTTAATTATTTCTGAAGTAGCTTCATGAATTCAATGTAAAACCCTAGACAGATAAATGACCAGTCAGGGACAATTAACATAGTTCAAGCTTTTGATAGTAACATTGAGATGTTCTTGTTAATTTGGCTTCTTGACGTGACTTCCAAAAAATTTTATTTGGCTATATTTTTCTATATTTTTTACCTGAGTTTTCAATGCACCTTTTAGCCTCAAACAGTTCAGCTCTAATACATGTTCTTATAACATTTACTTCAAATTTCCATCTTTCAAATGAAGAAAACAATACATCTCTCAAACATGTCAGGATAGTAAAGATGATGCTTAAAGTACCATGGAAATGAAAAGTGCTATTAAATTCATTTTTATCAGTTCTGCCCTTGTGAGCCATTATCACATCACACTTTTACACAGGCTCTAGATTATCTACTGCCACCCAGAGAACAGAGAGTTCAGGCTTATTATGTGAATCATTTGGTGCTTGTATCAATCAAGGCTCTTGGCTGCAAGCAACAGACACTCGGGCTCATTTAAATGCACAAGGAATGATTAAATGGTATCGGGTGCCTCATAAAATCCCCAGTAGGACCAGAAATTGAGGCTCGCGAGGCTCTGCCAGCCAGGAAAGATACCCCAAATCACACCCCAGTTCTGGAACCACACAAGCACCATTAGTGCTATCCCTGAGCCTGCACATCTGGCCACCACTGACTGCTGGACACCATCATGAAGCCCACCACCCCCCTGGAGAAATGACAGGGGAGGTCCAAGGTGAGCCTGGAGCATCCTGGGATTCAGAAAGCAAGGAAGTGCTCAAAGAGCAATGGGACATATCAGAAGGACACAGGGGCTGGCTGCAAGGGACTCCCACTGGCCAAATTTGAGATAATTTGAGGATCACAATGAGTAATGATAGTGCATTCTAACAAAAGGCAATCAGTGAGTCCACAGTGATACCATATGTAAAGGTGGGAGGAGGGAAAGCTCTTCTTTACAAAGGATTGTCAACTTAGACATAACAATGAATGAGGGAATTCAAAAAATCATCATTTTTCAACCAACAGTGTAATAATTGCTTTAGGCAAAAGTCATCAATAGACACTAAAACCAATGAGTGACACGTTGTTGGGTAACAAAATGTTCTTATAATCTCAAAGTATCACATCATAGACTACTTATTAATTTCAAAGGAGTAAAGATACCATCACACTAGAGAGAGATGGTGGACCCCACCTTAAACAAATGATCAAACTTAGCAGCTCTGGGGTGAACTGATACCATATGCCTCCAGATATGATGCAGCGGGAAGGACTCAGTATCACTTAGGAAGAATTCTTGCCAAAGTGTTTAACCTGTATCTAATAGTGAGGAAATAATTTGACAAATCCGAGATGTCAGTGGTCATAAAAGATGAATAAAGATGGAGCGATTGTTCTAGATTACAGGAGACTAAAAAATATGATAGCTACATGCAATTTGTGATCTTATATTTGATCTTAGATTTTAAAAAAAAAGATATAAATATTATTTCAGGGACAATTGGAGGAGTTTGAATACAAAATGTATATTAGATAACATTACTGTAGCAACATTAAATTTCTTGGGTGTGGTGATGGTCTTGTGGGCATGTAGGAGGATGTCTGTTTTTAGGAAATTCATGCTGAGGCATTTACAGGTAATGTGTTATGATGTCTGCAACTTCATCATTGCTTCAATGTCTACAAAAAGAAAACAAAACATCTGTGTGTTTGCAGGGATGAGCAAAGATTAAGCAAATGTGGCACGATGTTAAACAATTAGTGAATTGTTTATAGTGAATATCCTATATATCCACATAGGATATATGGAAATTTAGACTATTTTACATTGTCCCACATTTTACTTATTTTCTGTTCCATTTTTCTTTTCATTAAATAAAATTCCAGAGAGGGAAGCACCATTCCTAGGTGAGCAGAAATCAGCAACTGCTTTCCTCCCTAGGGGCATATGCTAAGTGTGGGCAAGGACTGAGGATCAGGCTTTCTGTATGCAGAGAGACATTGTAGGGGTAAAAAGAAATGAAGGGAACATCTCACAGTTGTGTGAGTTGGCACGACTAATTAGAATCAAGAGGAACCTCAAACATATAGCCAGTTTTCCCCACCAGTTTTCACAACAGGCCTTTCCCTGAGTTCTGCTGCAGAGAGGGAGGCTGGGGATAGAGGCAACTTGGTAGACTTAAACCCAACTGTATCATAATTACATTAAATGTAAATGGACTAAACACTCCAATGAAAAGAGAGAGGCAATCCAGATGAAAACTCCAACACCCAGGTCGGCCGAGTTGCTCAGTTGGTTAAGAGCTCACTCAAGAGTGTGAGCTCTGGGCTGGCCAAGTGGCACAATGGTTAAGAACTGGCTTGGGATGCCAGAGGGCCCCGGTTCAGATCCCACATATGACGGCCAGTGACACTGCCCTCTACAGCTAAGATGCTGAACAACAGCTCAACCTGGAGCTGGGCTGCCGTGAGATGCCAGTGACGGCATAGGCTGCAGCCCCTGTAGCAGTGGGTTGCCATGGGCTACTGTATGTGGCCAGCAGCCAGTGTGAGCAGCCAGCAGTCGCAGTGAGCAGCTGTCCAGAAGCCGGCGACTGATCTGCCTCACCCGGGAAGAGCGCAATGATGGTGCCAACTTGGGCCAGTGAAGCAANTTCCCCCAATTCCCCAGCACTGTTCCCATCCCCCCAATTCCCCAATAAAAATCTTGAAAAAAAACAGTGTGAGCTCTGAGCAACAATGGTTCGAGTCCCAGCAACAGTGGTTCGAGTCCCAGCCCGAGCTGAGCTGCCAACAGGTGGCAGGATGGCTCAGCTAAAAAAAAAAAAAAGAAAGAAAAAGAAAAATCCAACACCCAACTATATGCTGTTTATGAAAAATAAATCTTAACTATCAGGGCACAAAAAAATTATAAAGATGGGGAAAATATACTGAAAAGAAAACTCTGGGTATATGAATGCCAGACAAGTAGACTTTAAGGAAAGAATTATTACTAGAGACGAAGAGGATGATCCATAATGATAAAAGAATCAACAGGAAAGCATGATTGTAAATGTGAGTGCACCTCTAGGAACATAGCTTGAAAATGTATAAAGGAAAACTTGACAGAATTAAAGTAGAGATAGATCAATAATCTTAGTTGCACAAATTTAAAATTCTCTCTCAATTGCTAGAACAAGTATTAAAAAGAAACACCAGTATAGATATAAGAAATTTAAATACAGGTATCCCCCACTTTTCAAAAATTTGCTTTATTCTACTTTGCTTTTACAGAAGACCTACGTTAGTACCTGTTTTCACTAACTGAAAGAACTTTGAAGAGGATTTTTACTTTTACAAAAAATGGTGAGAGTGAAAATAATGTTTAGCATCTGTTTTGCAGCAAACCGGTAGAGAGGCAGCATGCACCCCAGCAAAGAGAGTGGCCCTGCCACCAAGCTTCTCGGGGAACCACACGCAACATCTCAGCACCCAGCTACCATCACTTTGAACTGTGTCTGTGAGTGTCTGTGCTTCATCTCGATTTATTTTGTGCTTCTGTTAACAAGATGTGTCCTAAGGTATCAGAAAAGCCTAAGAGAGCTTGTAAGGGTGTTACAGTCAGCGTAAAACTAGACATAATTAAGCGTTTTGTGGTGAACAAAATAAAGGCATTGTGTGTGTGTGTGTGTGTGTGTGTGTGTGTGTGTGTGTGTGTTGAACTTGCCTGGGACCACCATTCACACTGTTCACACAGAAAGAATCTCGAAAGTTGCCGAAGTTACTATTGGTTTTGCTGGTAGCGAAGTGGTCTTTTAGTCAGCATCCAGTAATGGATAAAATGGAAAGTCTATTACTTAAGTGGATTGATGGATACAGTCATCCAGGAACTGAATGTGAAGCATTTTTGTGAGATTTTCACTACAGTTGATGGCACTGCAATGATTGCAGAAAAGTATGACTTTAATTTTGAAAGAGCACATAGGTTTAGGGCAGGTTTGCAGGGTGTATTGAGTGCCTACAAAGAATTGTATGATAGAAAAATATGTGAGGCTAAGCAGTGGGGCCTGTTGTATTTCAGGCCTTTCAAATCAGCCACAGCAGCCACAGGAGACTCTGCACCTTGACCTTGGACATTGAGGCAGGCAGACATACAAGAAGGTATAGAAGTTAGTGACCTGCCTGCCCTGAAGGATTCAGATGATGATGAGATGTTAATAGTTGACCCTCTTTTTCTCTCTCCTACACTCCAGTCCCCTGAACCTCCCACCACCCCAGCCTCCAGTGACTCAGCCTAACACACCTTCTTCACCACCTCTCAGCCTTCCAGCATGCTTGCTGTCTTCCCGATTCTGGTGAGTGAAACTACACTGTACATACATCATTATCATATCATTCCTGCTTTTACTGTACATTAATGTCATTTTAGGTTTTACGTGTTATTTAGTATGATTTGGTAGGTTATTTGAGGGCATCTAGGAATGGTCAAAATGTTTCCATATAAATTAATGGTAATTGCTGCTTCACTTTACACCATTTCAGCTTACCAAACATTTCATGGGAATGCTCTACTTTCAGATAGTGGGAGAAACCTGTACACTATTAACTCATGTGACCTTAGTCATTTGTAGAACACCTGTGGAAATCTCATGGACATTAACCAAAATAGACCAATATTCCAGGGCATAAACTGGTCACAGTAAATCAAGGGCTGAAATCATACAGTGTAAGTTCTCAGACTACAGTGGATTAAACAAAAAAGCAATAACATGGCTGGCCGAGTGGCACGATGGTTAAGAGCTGGCTTGGGATGCCAGAGGGCCCCGGTTCGGATCCCACATATGAGGGCCAGTGACACTGCCCTCTACCGTGTGTAGCCAGCAGCCAGCGTGAGCGGCCAGCAGCCACCGTGAGCGGCTGTCCAGAGGCCGGCAACTGATCGGCCTCGCCCGGGAAGAGCGCAATGATGGTGCCAACTTGGGCCAGTGAAGCAGCGTCCTCCTCAACTAGACTGAAGAACAAAAAGACAGCAACTTCTCTGTTCCCCTTCCCCAATTCCCCAGCGCTGTTCCCATCCCCCAATTCCCCAATAAAAATCTTTTTTAAAAAAAGCAATAACAAATATACCTGGGGGGGAAAATAAGCAAAACCTTAGTTGATGAAAAGCATTTGGGCTCCTGATGATTCTGCCATGGACCAGAAGCGGGCTGAGGCTGGTTGAGAGAAGCATGTGGGTCATCTTTTTCCTGCCTGCAAGTAAGAGTAGAATTTTTGACATAGGACACATAGATAGTGTGACAAGCTATGTGCCTCAGAGCAGCCTGTAAAGAGCAGTCATAACTTGCTGTTCTCACCATCTGAGAGAATTGGGAGGAAGAGTGGTGAATTTTTATCGAAAGCATTCTGAGATATTTACAAATTAAGTGGCATTTACTTCAAAAGTTTATGGGAGGGGAGCTGTGGATTGGTATATGGATGCAATAAGATCAGCCATGAGTTTGTAATGGTAAAGCTGAGGGGCTGAGTACGTGGGGGTTTGTTATACTATTCTGTCTAGTATGTGTTTTACGTTTTTCCACAATAAAATGGTTCTTTTTTAAAAAAAAAAAGAGGGGCTGGCCGAGTGGCTCCATTGGTTAAGAGTTGGCTTAAGAGCGCGAGCTCCGAGCAACAGGGTCATCAGTTCGATTCCCACATGGGCCAGTGATGCTGCACCCGAGCTGAGCTGTCGCTGAGCTGCCAACAGGTGGCAGGATGGCTCAGCTGGTGTAACAACGAGATTGCCTGTTCGATGGTGGGCTATGCCCACCCGCAACTAAGACTGAACTTGCTCGGCACCTTGAGCTGAGCTGCTGCTCGGATTGCTCAGTGGATAGAGCATGCGCTCTTAACAACAAGGCTGCCGGGTTCGACTCTCGCATGGGATGGTGGCTATGCCCACCCACAACTAAGATTGAACACAGCACCTTGAGCTTAAAAGGCCACGAGCTGCCGACGGGCACCCAGATGGCGACTGGCGCTCTCCACAACGAAGATTGAAGAACAACAATTTGGCTGGTCCCCTTCCCAATTCCCCAACACTGTTTCCCTCCCCCAATTCCTCAATAAAATCTTTTAAAAAAAAAAGAAAGAAAGAAATCACAAAGAATTGGGATGGGTAACTGGTTTGAACAGTGGGAATAAGTGTCTCTTAAAAACTGCCCTGGACAAAAGGCAAATGAGAAGCAACAATTCCCTTCTTCCCTTTTCCACATCCAGAAAGATCATCCACAGGACGATAATTGGAGAACAATGGAAAGATACCAGCTGGTTCTGAATGAGAATGGATGTGCTGCACTCGGATGAGATTGGTTTCCAGTTGACTTAGAAATTGACTCCAGGGTCAGGAGTTTTAGAGGGAGCATCATAAATAACTTGCAAAGTGGAACTTTGTGTAATAATCACTCTTTTGACATTTTATCCTTTCCAGTTTTTATTTTTAAATGTATATAAAATTTCTCAGCTGTGGGCCTAATGTTTTTTCTCTTCCTGCATCTGGTGCTCATGGTACTTAAAAGGCCAATTCTCTATTTTTAGCTTTTGTGGGTTTGAGCAATACTTCCAGGTTCAGGGGATAAAGACTGCTCATTAATATTTGTTTGGAGGATGAGGTAATTTCACAAACCACGCTATGAAGGTCAACAGTGTATGGAATCTGATGAAATTATGAATATCAACTCTAGTGAGAAGAAGCAGCTCAATAGAATTATGCAAAATTATGGTGACATTGATATGATATAGTTTATTAATCTCTTATGAACTGCATGAATTACTGGAGTATGTATATAGCATGTAGGCTATGCTCTAATAAGCACAATGTTGGAGGCATTAATCAAAATCCAAATAATGGAGATTTCTCCACTTGTATTTGTGAAGCCAAGAGATGCATTCGGCTTAGTGGCTGTATTAAAACAGCTCTCTATTTATTCATGCTTTCATTCATTTGATAAATTTTCATGAAGTCTCTATTGGTGGGCCAACCACTTAATCTTTCAAATTAATGTCCAATTTGCAAACATCTCTGATACCTTTCCCTGAAGCCTAAAAAGAACTAGTAAGGAGAGTAAAATTTTACCTATGAAAAAACTGGATGTTAGGTTTCAATTTGAGAACGCCATCTACAGCATTTGCTGCCTCCTTGTCCCACACTTAACTCCACAGTGGGTTCATTGGGGAGGATAAATTGTAGCCTGGCCCTTACAGAAATCATCATCTAAAAATTGCCCAAACTCTTCAGATGGCTGACAAGATCCTTCATGATCTGGTTCCTGGTGCCTCATCTCTCCAACCCACCCACCCCCACCATCAGTTAGCTTTCTGTACTTCCCTCCGGTCACAGAATGTACCAGTCTCTTTCTCACCTCCTAGACTTCACACATACTGCTCCCACTGCTGACAACACTTTTCCCACTCCTCCTTCCAACAGCTGACTTTTGGTGTCTCAGTTAACTTGTGGATCAGCCAGTATAGGCTAAGTCTTGCTACAGTGATAAACTTCCCATCTCAGTAGCTTAAAACAACAAGGGTTTGTTTCTGTTTCTCACAAAGTCCATTGTAGGCCTAGCCCACTCTCCAGGGCAGCCGTTCCTCTTGGGCTGGCTCAGGACTGCACCTCCATGTCAGCATGGGCTTCCACTGTCACTGGAGCAGGGAAAAGGAGAGCTGGGTCTCACACCAACCACGGTTTGCTCTGGCCTAGAAGTGACACATGTCACTTGCATTCACAACCCATTGGCAGAACAGTCACCAGGCCAAGGCCCTGCCTATCATCAAGGGGATAGAAATGTAAAATCTTTCTAGGTGCCACGAGTGACAAAACCCAGAATTACCGATAAGCAGCACTAACATGTATCAGAAGGTTCCACTTCCCATGAGAAGCCCTCCCTTGCCCTCTAAACAGATGGAGCTGGTTTGTTGAGGAGTCTCAACTTGTCTGTTTGGGTTTTGTCCAATTACTGCCTCCCCATTGTCCTTAAAAACGTCTTGGCCAGTCACTTTTGATTATCAGAACAGTTTCCATTCAGCTTAAATATTTAGTCCTCTTCACTCTCCAATTTCAGTCTCAAGGTCAATTTAAAACTCATCTGATTCCTCTACCCCCAGGTCAGGCTTGGAGCAGAGGATGGTGCAGTCTCCTACACATTCCTGTCCTGCCCGTTGTAGAGACTAACCTGTTCAGGTGATAGGGCAGAGGAAGGGCGAAAGAAAACAGCAGATGTTTCTTCTCTTTCCTGATTAAGATGACATTCCTCTTCTTTGGTTTTCCCTGCTCCTCTCGCCAACACTGGCAGGCCAACAAGAGATGCCCATTTCAGCAGGCGCCTCTCAAGCTGAGTCTCAAAGAGCACATATGTGGGTCCTCCAGAGGACCAGTGTGGGTCTTCCCTGCTGCATTCTTTCCTGCCCTAGGAGACCAGTCTTTACCTGGACCACTCTCACTCCCACCCCTCACCTCCACTAAAACAGTGTACGCCTTAAGCCTCTGTCTGCAGGGCACCCCTTTGGTGGAGGAGACCAGCAACATGGCTGAAGCCCAGCTACCTTCCAAGGTGTCCACTCAACCCACAGGCAGCTCTGAATTCCCTCCCACCCCAAGTGGTGGGTAAGCAAGCAGGTCTACTGCCAGCTCCTTTTTCAGCCGTGTCTATCACCCTTTGCCTGTTCTCTTTGCTCTTGTTCAGGGAAGCCCGGGGCTGATTGACAAGTCCAATGGCTAAGCTAGTATCCAACCAGAGATGAAATGTCAGTCCACCTTTCCTGCCAACACTCATGTACAAGTCAGTCTCTTGGCTTCAACACACACAGAGGAGAGAAACTAGCCTCTCTTTCTGAACACTGCACTGACCAAAAAGGCCTCAACATCTCCCCCTCTTAGCTATCTCATGCAGACTTGGGGGATAGGGTAGATCGGAACTGATGACCCTCAGCAAGCCCTGAGGTGGCTGTCCCTAACCTGGCAAAACTCCTTGACCTTAGAATGTGGGGTACTTGGTGTCTTGTCTTGAGAGTGGACACTAGCAACACTCTGGGACATCAGGAAAAATCCTGGACTTCATGGAGCTAAGTAGCCTTTGCAAGTGCTGCCACAGCCCCTGTGTTGCTTGTCTCTGGGTCCCCTGACATCACGTGGCTCTTGCATGCTACATTTTCTGTCTCCCCCGATCCAGCCAATCTTGGGGCTTTCTGACCCATCCTGGACACCAGCTCAGTGCCCACCACAGAGTGAGTGCTCAAGTATTTTTTGACAAGACCAGGCCAGCTAACTTTAGTGTGGAAAGGTTTTTAATATAAAGTTTTAAAAGG